CCCAGCCCCCTGCGGCGGCAGCTCCGCGGGCGGCCTCGGAGCCGCAGTCCAGAGAGCCTTCGGGCCCAGGAAGAAGTTTGTTGAAGCTGGCGGGTCGAGGGTGGCGAGGGCGCATCTGCCCGCTCTCCGCCGTTCCCAGCAGCAGATCCAAAACACTGGCGTCCCACAATGGATCCCATTGCGAGGTGAGCCTCTCCTGCGACAGGTCCGCTCCCTTGTGCGGGCTGAGGACAAAGTGCGCAGATTAAAGTCCTGGGAACCGAGCAATCGCTGGGCAGAAGGGACCCAGGATCCTGGGAGGTAGTGTTAATGGGGGGGGGGATGCTGGTCTCCACCATTCAAGGATACCTTAGAATTAGGGCTCCTGAAACTGGCAGTGAAAAAACCTTTGGGATCTACTTCTTCCTGTTCCCAGTAAGAAAACAGCACCCACAGCGAAAGCAGTCGTCCAGATCATTTAGCTAATTAATAAAACACCAATTCTCATTTACTGAATACTTTACTGTGAATATTGCCTTAATCTCAGTGTTCACCAGTCTTACTTTATCGAAAAGGAAACTGAAGGTCACAGAAGCACCTACGGTGAGTGGCATAAGTTACATAGCAAGTGGCAGAGCTGATAATCCTGCCCTAGTCTATCAGGGCTCCACACAGCAATGCTGACCCGACATCATGAGTGAGAGGCTGGCATTTCGAGAAGGCGTTTCCTGTTTAGAGGAAGAGACCGCCGACAGAACTGAGGGATAAATGAAGAGACCAGAAACGGCTGGGGGTTCCAGTTGGTCTCCTTTTGTCTTTATTCTCACTTGGCATTTTGTCAGGAGGCCCTCAGAGACGTTGAGAGCTGAACTGCCTCCAGCGATAGCTGGAGGAGCAGGGGAGAAGCAAGGCGGAAAGGCCAGCTCTGCCAGGAACGGCCCAGCGACTCATTGGGCCACTCAGAAAACTAGGCGCAGCCTCCCAGCTGGCCCCATTCTGCACAAGTGTGACACATCATCTGGCTTGAAATTAATTCACCAAATATGAGACACACCCATGTTTGAATACATAGTGTAAAACCCTCTGAAGTGCACTATAAATGGTTTACCCCGCTTTTAGAATCAACTTGTTTTCCTGCACTAGCAGATGGCAGCTGCTCTCCCACTCAACTGTTTGCAAAGGCAGAGAGGGCCTGGCTAGACTGACTTTCAGTTGCAACCAAGCGGGGGATATGTAGCTCTCTCAACAACAAATGTATAATTTAACTCTAATAAGACCACAGAACAGTAACGTTCACCAGTGCTAAAAATCCTAACTTGGAGTAGAGTTTTTGCTTATGCTAATTAAAGACTTACCCCTGAGTATAAAGCTGTAGGGGATACTTGGGGCTGGAATCCAGGTCTGGCTGGATTCCAAATTTGCTTGACACTAGGTCTTGCAGTCTATGAATCAACGTCATACCATTTCTACTACTGAAATCCTATTATTCAGTGTTGCTGGCCATAAATGTGTGGACTGGAAGACCTAAGCCAAATTTTACTTATAAGAGTTTCTTCAAAGAAAAAAAAAGACCTTATTAAAGATAAAGTGTGTTTATTGCTTATCTACAGGCATTTCTCTCTGTAGTCTTGAGTCATGGTCCACCTTGTGTGCTTTTATATAGAACTAAAAATACTGGCACAGTCACACCTGCCAGTTCATATTGGATCAGACAAGTGAAGTCAACTTTAGACATGTCCTGTTCTGGGGCCTGGAATTTAGCTCAGTGGTGGTGCCACCTGCCTCACAAGGGCAAGGTCCTGAGTTTGATCGCTGGTACAAAATAAAAAGCATCCTGTTCTAATTTTTCTTTTTCTTTTTTTTTTTTTTTTTTTTGCAGTCACACCAGTGGCCTATGTTAAAAACCCAAGGCAGTATTGCTTTTGCTGTGTCCTATGTCATCTCTCCTTCTGGACTGCCATCCTTACATAGCATCTCATCTCCTGGCCCTGGAGCCAGAAACTAGATTCCTAACATTGCAGGTGACAAGTGTGGCCTTGCACCAGCATGTGGGGAGTGCCTTCAATGAACTATGGCTCTGGTCTAGGACAGAATGGCCCAGGGAACACAGCTCCTGATGTACATCTAACTACAAACTAAGGTGCAGAGTGCTTGGAAGATTATGACGGTGGCTTAAAGGGGTCACAGAGGGCCTCCCCTAATTCTGATGTGAGTAGTCCTGAGTCAGTGAGGGTACACAATTTTCAAGGCTGAGAAACACCTGCCCCAAAGCCCTCAAGCAGGAAGGAGCTGGGCTTGTCTTCTAGGCAACAGTCCGGAAGTCAGAGTGACCAGAAAGAGAAAGGGGAAGAGGAACACAGGAAGAAGCTGGGTTGTGGACTCTTCTCTGTGCAGTTTGGAACCGCAGAGAAGCCACGTGATCCCACACGCCTTGGTAAATGCAAATCTACTCCTCTAGTGAGGCTTCCTGTTTAGTGCTGAGGGGACAAGGGTGAGAGCTCACAGATGGATCTCACCTCCGGTGGAAAAGGGCTGAGGGGGTTGGACTAGATCGGGACAGGCAGGGGTCCAGGCAAGATGCAGTGTCCACCGTGGGTGGGAGAAAGGGGTGGCTTCAAAAGGTGCCTGAACTTGATGGGTTTTTGGTGGGGCATAAGGAAGGGCCTCTCAACTCTCGCTTTCTCTCTGGGCTTAGATTGGATGAATCACACACATTTCTGCCTTTCATTCTCTTATTCTCTGCTCCAATCTCTTCCCTCAAATTGCTGCTTTTTACTTAGTGTATTTTCCAAAGTCAGAGCATGACCGCAAAGACCCCAAGCCAACCCCAGGAAGTCCACACAGGTTAAAATCTCAGATTTTAGGTCAGATTTAAGTCATTTTACTTTCTCATACTTCCTTATGAGACTTTTTCCCTTCCAACATTAAGATTAGGAAGGATTTATCTAGCAGCTTCTTAACCCTAAGGGAAGTTATCTGAGGTGGATTTTTAAATGCAGTTTTGAGCTGGGGATTTAAAAAGAATTAAGATGTGTCATACGCATGTACCAACTCCCCATGATGAATATACTAATAAAAACTTTTTAAAGTTTTTGTTTTTAAAACTTATTTAGCCTAAGGAGAGGCAGTATAATTTTTCATGTATTTATTTATTTTTTTGGTACCGGGGATCGAACTCTGGTCCTTGAGCTTGCAAGGCAGGTGGCAGAACCACTGAGCTAAATCCGTGGCCGAATTTTTCATTTAATAAGATTAAAAATTATAAGAGTGAACAAAAACCAAAAGCCCAACTAGTCTTTTAGAAAAATCATCTTCAAGTTCATATTTAGAGTGATATATTATGGATATTAAGAATTGAGGGGGCCAGGGATTGAGCTCTGTGGTGCCACATGTGCCTTGCAAGTGCAAGGTCCTGATTTTGATTCCCAGTACTACAAAAAGAAATAAATAAATAAATAATTCAAGGGCCGGGGATTTAGCTCAGCAGTTCGGTGGCCTTCCTTGCAAGCGCAAGGACCGGAGTTCAATCCCCAGTACCAAAAAAAAAAAAAAAAAAAAAAAAAAAAAAAAAAAAAAAAAAATTCAGGACGGGATTTAGCTCAATGGTTCTCCTGCCTTACTTTGCAAGCACAAAGTCCAGGGTCCCGAGTTTGATCCCCAGTACCAAAAAAAAAAAATTAAAAAATGGGTGTGATAGCACACACCTGTAATCCCAGTACTTGG